TGTAAGCTTTTCGCCTTCGGTGAATCGTAGGGAGCGCATCGACAATCCATCGTCGAAACGACAGAATGATGTGGGTCTCAACCGACTAAAACGGTTGGTAAAGCACAAAGCTTCCACTAGGCTGCTTCAACAGCCTTAGTCTTCTCTCGATAGCCCAAGTCGGCTCGGGTCCCCTTCCCCATCACACATTCCCAACGACAGCTCCCCAGCAGGAGAAGTGACCAATATCAGAATACCGGCTCGAAACACCGGCTCAAATGGCAAATCCGGGAACCCGTGGTTGTTCTTATCTCTGTTAAAGCCCATTTTGGCGGGCGAAGTTGTTGTTTTAGCCGACAAAGCGTTGTCCTCTGATTTAACTCTCTTTTTGGCCAGGCCGTCGGAGAGGGATGTGGACTTGAGTTGTTCGCTGAGACTTTCAGACGCGGATGTAGGCCTGCTTTTGAGGTTATTGCGTCTGCGATATTGGAGGAGGCTCATCCTTCTCCTTAGTTTGGATCTTCCCGTAACCGATAATCTAGCTGGTTCAAGAACTTTTGAGAGATCTGAAGGGGAGCCACCCGATGGTCGCGGAGCTGGCGAAGCCATATTCGATAGCAGAAGAGCAGTTATCGGAGACCCTCTGGCAAATTTGCAAATCTTTTGGACATTGATTCAATAGGGGGGTGAGTGAAGCGAGTGTTGGTTTGAAAGGCTAATTTTTACACACTCAATCCCGAATTATATTGTAGAAAGAAGAGGACGCCATCGGGCGATGCATTCAAAACAATAATAGGAATAATGGACAGGTGAGAAAAGTGACAAAATTCTACAGATTATATTGTGAGTGGAAAGGCATATCATTTGGTTCAATAGAGAGTGAATATTACCTACTATATAGTTCTCGTATGTGTGGCCTCTTAAAGGGGAGTGGCCTGCGTATACGGCCGATCAAAACGATAATGGAACGATTTGGAGGAAAGATCATTGATTCCTGTTCAAATGTATGGAGCGGTGATTGAGCCAAGCAAGTAGAGAAACTAGATATAGAAGAACAGTTTTCGTGGCTGTATTATTAAATTTTGCCATCATCTAGTTCAATTCACGGGAAAGAACAGGCTTCAGCAGGGCAGTGGTAACCTAAATTGCGAGAAGGATCGATGGATCCATGCAATTGGGTAGACTCGGGAATCGCGGATCCAAACAAATTGGAAGGAGAATCCATGTATACATCTTGCATCCGCGATTTCGTCTATAGAAGCAACATATTTGACATCTGAAGTCATGAGAAATGTGTGGTATGAGTAGTTGGCAAATCAATGCTTTAAAGGGGTAATTTCCTTGAAATTCGCTCATTTTAATTATGCACAACAGATCAACCAGTGAAAGCTGGAAGGAGGCAGTTAAATCGAAATATTGCTGTACCAGAGCTAGAACAGCGGAACGTAACTGTTGCCTGAATGATAACAGAAGCTATGTAGTAAAGGGCTGCAGATCAAACATCATTTGTTTCCCCCCAAGCTGCCCTACTCTTGTACTGAAAAATCAAACTTTTCGAATGCCTTCTTGAATGCTTCCGCATCAGCAACTTCTTCGTCCTGTGATTGCAGATGGTCTTTCCAATTCATCCGCTTCTCAAGTTGGAGAAGTTTAGCCATCACTCTTCGGCCAAACTGGAGATCGAACCGGAAATCTGGCGATAATGGAAGGATCAAGTTGGTATCCAGGCCTACTTTATTCGTTGTTCTTTCTTCCTTTTCACCTTTCGAGGTATTTTTTGACGACTCCCAGATCATCACCCGAAAGTAATCGCCCTTTTCCAATGCTTTGCTATCCTCTTTTCTAAACTTGGGATAATTAAGGTTTTCGGCTTCGACCCTGAAAGCTGCCTCCACCAACCCACGAGATATTAGGTCTGATGGCACGGGAAGAAATTGCCAGTGGATATGTATTCCCTTGGCACGGCTGACTTCCCAGGTAACTGCACCAAGCTCCCCATTGGATTTTTCATCCAGCATTGCATGCAAAGCAGCTCGATATCTTTGCATCTCCTTGGTGGTGGCCGTTTGTGAATCAGACTCGGTCATTGCGTCGAAAGTGGGTGCATGAGTCAGGGGGATAATTAACATGTGTCCCGGAAATCCTAGAGAGCGAAACGTGGTGGATGTGGGTAACGGGCCCTTTGCAGTTGTAAGGTAACATTCCGATCCAATGGAGGTAATGAGATGGGTGGCAATATTCGGATTCGATAAGCAAAAAAAGCACTCTGAAGGTCCAGGTGGGGGGGGGCCTCCGAGCCCGCTTGCTAGGCCGATGGTATTCATCGCCTTGGGCGAAGCGACTGAAAGCTTGCGCCTGGTCAGGATGAGGGTCGCGCTTCCTTGAAGTTAGAAGCGGCGATGCCGTCGCCCCTGCGGGAATAAATGTTGACGGAGTGACATGTGGATCTAAGGTGAAGGCAGAAAGCCATTTTTGATTCGACGATTTGCTGAACGGGGCCAGGTTGATGAATCGAGTAATATGTTTTACGTCGGGAGATTCTTCGGTGGGAAGATGGAAGAAAGGTTCACGTTCATAAAAGAAGGGTGCCTCTGACGAAAAGTGATATCGGGGTTTAAGAGTCGCACAGAGGTCTGCCACGCATTGTGATCCTTCGGGAGCGTTGGTGCCCTCAGGCAATGAGACTTTTGAACCATCGCGAATCGACTTTGGCCATTGGTTGGTTATTAAAATATCGGCATTGTGGGCTCCGAATAACGATCGGGCGTCGGATTGCGTGTATCTGGGCAGGTATTTATCGCGCACGTCAGACGCAAGGGTCTTAGAGCTTCTTTCTAGATTACCCCCCAATGTAACGATTCTGATGCCTTCAGAGGTTTTGAGCGTGCTACGCCGACCAAGGAAATAAAGATTTGTGCAAACTTCATCATCTGATTCAATTTTTTCAATGATGCGGGCTGGAATCGGGTGGTTTCCAACGGTGAAATATGTGGGCAATGGCACATTGATAGTCCCATCCAGCAAGGCAACAATGTCGCTGAGCTCTTCCTCATCTGAGCCATCACCAAAAAGGTCACCAGAAATAATAGCAAAAGCGAAATTTTGTTTCGCCTGGAGCTTTGCTAATTTTGCGAACACTTCTTTGATTGACCATTTGACACTCCCCAGGACAATTCTGCATCTATTTGTAAGCTCTAATATCCATCGGAATTACGCGCAAGCAATAAATCACTTACATTTTAGATGCCATAGCATTATTCTAGCGTAGGAATACTTGTCCAACAGGTCCAGACAACCGCTGGGAGGGAAGATCATGCAGGAAGCTACTTGATACTGGTGAACTCAAGGAATCACGTGACATACAGGTATTCCAAAAAATTTCAGCGAGTTGAATGAAGATTCAAAACTGACACACGTCATTTTGATCTCTGTTCAACTAGTGTTACTAAAATAACATACACATGATCATTAATCATCCCCTGCGGGTTTGTATTTGGCCGCTGGAGCAAAAGAGCTCAATCACCACCTGGGATTTTCGGAGTGAGTGCATTTTAGATGGGTTAAATCACCTGACAAAAAGCTGACGACCATGGCTGCAAAGTTGGCAGTTCGTCATGGTTCCAAACTAAATCAATTCCGCTTTCAAAATCTGTTGTTTTATAACTTTTCAGTTGGTGTTACGCTTGCGACCTTGTCGATATAATGAAACCAGGTTATGCATAGACCGCTCACGTTAAGTCAATGCTAGCAAATTCCTCATCACTCATCACTCAACTGCGTTCTTATTGGCCTGATCAAACCGACCTCATTCTAAACATTGAGAATTAAGCTTTAGTATCAGATCAATTTGTGATCTTGATTTCAAACGTCATTGCTTTGCCATAGCAATTGCTGAAAATGCCGTTTCTCGAGTTGCTCACAAATGCCACCCTCTCACGCGAGCAGAGTAAGGAGCTCGCCCTTTCGCTGTCCAAAACAGCGTCGGAGATCCTACGGAAGCCTGAGGCTCTAATTTCAGTTAGAGTGCAGGCTAATGAGGTCTTGACATTTGCGGGTACCCATGATCCATGTATTAACCCATCGGTAGCTACTAGTAAATCTCTGAACATCCCATTTCACACAGCTGACTGCTTGAGAATAATTAGGCTTCCAGTTACGGATAACATCTCTGGGAAATCTCAAACCGGACAATACCATTCTCTTCTCTAAGGCCTTTGCGGATTTCCTTAAGATCAAGATTGGAGTTGAAAACGATCGAGGCTATATCGTTTTCAGTGACCCAGGTCGGTTGTGCCAATTTATCGAGGTTCAAGAATTTCAGTGTCCGAGCAAATTCTAACTTAACTATTAGACTATCCAAATATAGGATATAAGGGAACAACCGGAGCCGAACTGTGGGGCTCAAAGCATGAATAGCAAGAATTTGTAGTTGGTATAGGAGTTTCTTGAGAATACCTTGATATTGTGATGAGCTCTCCTTTCACTTGGAATGTCCAAAAGTTTTGCCATGTTCGATCAAAAATTTAACTAATGGTTGTATTGTGGATTTATGCAAAGAGTTTGTTGTTTGTTCCCACTTCGGCTTGGATGTGCATTAGTAGAAGTGAAATGTGGTGCTTAAAGGCTATATTGAGATTGAAAAGAAATCCAACCCGATACTCCCCACGTCCTGACCCAGGCATTGTAGCGAAATATTGTATAGCTCAGCAGGATAATTAAATTGTCAAATTGTCATCAAGGGTTTTAACAACTAGAATACTGCTCGAAGAAATTCTGTTTGAGGTATAGTGTCACGTGATACATATTGATAAAATATGGCCGGATTATCGTTTGACCGCTATGCATAGTGTGCCTTTTTTCGTGCGCAAAGCTTCAAAATATTTTTGGGGGTTAATCAACGGCTCTCGATGAGACCTTTGATTCCAATTCGGCGGCCCACAACATGGCGACCGTACATTCTGGACGCCAGGGCAAGCCTGCCAATCTCTTAAAGAAAGGCACAGTGACGACAAAAACCCACCGATTTGAATCTTTCTCCCAGCGCGTCGTTAAATTAAAAATTGATCCTATCCATCGTGTGCGGCGAACCAGCGTTGGTGATGACAGCGACTCGGACTCGGACACGTACTTCAGGGCTTCCCTGGAGCGCTGGATGGAACTTAACCTGTCGGAAAATTTTACTCAGTTCTCCCAACGAGTTAATCGACTGTGCGAAAGCTTACCGCAGATTCTTCATCATGAGGATCGAATAATGGGATTGTTGGCCGAGTATATCGCAAAAGGAGATGAGATGAGCATGGAACCCCTGCTGAGTCTTGTAGCTCAGTTTTCGCGGGACTTGGGCCAGCGATTTGAAAGACACTTTGCGTCGGCCGTCACGTTGGTGGCTTCCGTCGCCGCTACACACTCAAATATCGAGGTGATAGAATGGAGTTTTACATGTCTGGCATGGATTTTCAAGTTCCTATCCCGTCTCCTTGTCCCGGACCTACGCCAACTGCTGGGAATAATGTCTCCGTACCTTGGGAAGGAAAAACAAAAACACTTTGTGACAAGATTTGCTGCGGAGTCTATGTCCTTCTTGGTCCGGAAGGCCGCACTTGTCTACTACAAAAACAAGGCACCGCTTGACAGAGCCGTTACCTTCCTTTTCGAGGACCTCGCTAGCATTGATGGGGCGCGCCAAATTTCAATGTATCAACAGGGCCTTATGTCAATGTTTGCAGATGCGATTAAGGGGGTTAATGGTGGTATTCATTCAAGTGGAGCAGATATCTTGCGTTGCCTAATCAGTGCCGCTGTTGTGCAAGACGAAACCCAGAGTGCCCTCGCAGGGCAGGTTCTTAGCGGGGTTGTCACTAATTTGGTTCATCATACTTCTGTAAACACCTTTGGTTCAGTGCTTGATGTGATCTGTGATCATGTTGAATCCACTAAACACAATGGCGACATTGCAGCGATGAAGATTGACATCCGCTTGGTTTTTGTTAGCGTAACCGCGCGCAAGGGCTCTAGGGTTAAAAACTGGAGAAGAGCACATGAAGCTCTCATGATCCTTCTCACTCGCGTCGTTAAGTCATCTAGTACCCCGGGGTATTCCGTTCAACTGCTCTTAGCTGCTGTGGTCGTTGCAGTGCAGACCTCCCCCATGGATGAATTGCTGGCGTTTATGCGCCCTATTATGGAATTAATCAGCGATGATCAACTGAGGGACTACTTCCTCCCATTTTGCTCTTTTTTCTCTACTTTTGGGGCTGAACGCTTTCAGAGCGTTGTGCTCCCATACTTTCAGCGGTATGTGATTGGTGCCAAATGAGTTTTTGTACGATTTGTATACGAGTCCTGACATTAGGTTTAGGTTCATTACTTCGCTCTGGGGCGATTACGAATCCGGACTTTGCCATATATTACCACAACTTCAAGCTGCCCGTTGTGTCACTTCGGAGCCCAACAGACCCGGGTATTTGACTTGTCCTAGTGGCTGGAAGGATGCAATTGTCGAAAGGCTGCGCAAACCCAATCCAAGTGCCCAGGATATCTCATTCCTAAATTCTTATACTAAGCTTCACAACGCTATATCCCTCTCTTCTGAGCCTTCGATTCTTCCACAATTAGTCCGCTGCCTCCACGGTCAACTAACGGCTGCTTTGGCACAAGCTCCCAAACTTGGAGAAAGCCAAATTATATTTGCTCGAGGCCAAGGTTTTTTGGCTTATGTCCACCTCGCTTCTGTAATGGGCTTACTTGATTTACAGCTTTGGAGATTGATAGTTTCCAACGGACCCGACTGCGCAAATTGCCCGGTTTTCCTTGAAGCTACCTTGGCTTATTTGTCCGCTTGTCACAAATGCGATCAGGCAACCGATGTCAACCTTGAGCCGTTTGCTACAATTCTGATCCACAATCTTTCTAGTCCATCACACGAAATTAGACTGTTTTCCCTTAAAATTCTACAAATTTTGTTGTCTCAGGAGAACGATGGCAACAATACTTACATAGAAATAGCAATCGAAATTGAACAAAGCGAGCTAACCCTCCATGCAGCGAGGACTCTATCAATGCAAGTACGCAAACTTGCCATCGCATACCCAACATTGTCTTCCCAGAAGTGGTTGGATCGGATTATTCCGAATTTCTGTTTTGGCTTGCTATCGAAAAGGCTAGCATCTCTGTGGGATGACGCATGTGAAACAATTAAGGCAATTTGCGAGGTGCGAAATGGAGAGACCGTTGTTGCGGAGCTTGCTATGCGCTGGCTGCAAGAGCCTGGCTCGCTTAGAACCGATGCCAGTACGCCTGGGGAAGAGCCGCAGGAATCGCATATCTCGTCGGACTTCGAATGCTTTAACGTTTCAAATATCGAGAAAACCTCCTTAGTAAATTTCATTGATTCCCACAACTACGATTCTTTGCTTGCAGAAGATTTCAAGTCTACACATTCGACGGAAGTAAAACACTCTACTTCTCCTCGAACACAGGCTCTCAAGGTCCTTGGATCTGTGCCTCAGGTGGCAGAGAAGCGATCTCGACTATTTGTTCCTCTATTTCTAACATGGGCAGCTTATGATGATGACATTACTACCGTTAACGAGTCCAATGCTTCAGGTACAGGTGGAGGAGAATATGGCTCCCCTTCTTCCTGGAATTTGCGCGACCGGAAAGCTATGCTCGACATCTTTGGAAAATTCGTGAACCCCAAGGTTTTATACAAGGCAGCAGAGGTCCATGAAGCGTTACTTGGCCTTCTTGGCAACGGTGATTCGGAAGTTCAGAAATCTGCACTGAAGGCTATATTCACATGGAAGTCGCCAGCAATTCAACCATATGAGACGAACATATTGAATCTTGTGGATGATGCAAGGTTCCGAGATGAATTATCTGTTTTCTTAAATGTTAGCCAAGAGGCTAATATGATTAAGGAAGATCACCGTGCAGATTTATTGCCAGTTTTGCTAAGACTTCTGTATGGCAAAATTGTTGCTCGCGGGGGCTCTCGTGGTGGACAAGGGACCCAGGAGGCACGCAGAAAAACCATTTTAAGAACGATATCCCAGCTTTCTGAAAATGATTTTGACAACTTTATTCAAATATCGTTTGGTCCTTTGAACAATGTTAGTGTCCTCGAAACCGACGCCAAGCATGTCCAACCCCTAGAACAAGAGATAATTGGCGTCAGAAAGCAGTATGGTCTTCTGAAAATGGTGGAAACTATGTTCGAAACTTTGAAGACGAAGATGTCACCCTTTGTTGAACGTTCCATGAATGTGATTCTATACTGTCTTTTCCGAGCAGGTAGGAAGTTGAAGGAGGACAGTTCAGAAAACCACCACTCATCTCTCATTCGCAGTATCCGGCAGACAGGTGTTCATTGCCTTGATTTGGTATTTTCTATTTCACCCTATTATGATTGGACTCCATACATGCCCCTGATTTTCAACGAGATTATCAGCCCAAGATTAAGCAATTTCTCCGTGGAAACGGCGCAAAGCGTATCCGGCCTTCTTCACCTATTCCATACTTGGGCATCCAGCCCTAAATCAGCACTCTACTTCCTTTACGGAAACCAACAGATCATTCAACGAATAGTTGATTGTCTGGCTGTGGAATCTGCCCGTGAGGAAGTCAAGATATTCGTTCTAAATGAGATCCTGAACAGCCTCATTAGTCGTGCGGATGGAGAGATAAACGATCCGGAGAATTTACCAGATGCAGCAACAACGGATCTAATTCGGTGCAAAGTACTGGCACCTCATGTCGAGCACATATTAACTCATGTCGAATTTCTCCTTAGAAGTCAATCTACCCGTCAACTTACGATGGCTGCAATTGAGACGCTGTCTAAGCTCGCACCGTTTGTCCAATCATCACAAGAGACCACGAAGTTAATTAGTACAGTAACGTTTCTTCTTAATGAACCTGCAGATCGAGTACCTCCCAAAGCCAAAAGCGGACTTCTACGTGTCATGCAATATTTCCTACCCTTATATGATCCACGCGATAACGTGGACCTCAGCCGGCGAATCTTTGAAGTCATTTCCTCTCTATTCGATTACTTCAAGGATAATCCGAACCGTGAAACGCTCTCTTCCGTATTTTCTGCATTTGCAAACCATGAAGTCGACCTTAAAAATGTTGCCGAATTATGTGCAGACCTAAATGCTATTTCAGACAAAAGACTTGACGAATTGGATTTCGATCGACGACTTGGGGCGTTTAAAAAAATAAATGAACAGAAATATAAGGAGTTTACGTCTAGCCTAATGAATCCATTGCTATTCAATCTCTCTCTATCATGTGAAAAACGGAGAGGAGCTTGCCAATTCGATCTAGTTCATCATTTGGATTGAGAGGTTTATCGAGAGCGTGTTTCAAAGCTAGAGGATGATAATGGAGAGTATGCTTTCTACTCGAGAAAATTTTGCTGCCTGCGTTGCGGAATGGAGCTAAACACTCTGTCGAGATGGTTCGGGCGGAGTTCGTGTCTATCATGGGTTATTTCATAAAGCATAACCCGAACCACCCGGCTGTTCGTGGCATGGTGGACTTACTAGCTGGTGGTGATGAAAGAGGCATCATTCTTCAATAATATTCTCCATATTCAGCAACATCGTCGTCTTCGAGCTTTGCGGCGTCTCGCTGCTGAAGTTAAACGAGGAAAATTTGAGTCTTCAAATATTAGCTCCTTTTTCCTACCTCTCATTGAACATTTTGTGTTTGATCAGGAGGAAAATGATAGTGCCCATAACCTGGCGGCGGAGGCAGTTACAACTATCGGGGTTCTGTCCGAATGGCTAGAGTGGAGCCAATTCAGAGCAATATTCCGCAGGTATAGGGGTTACGTGCGAAGTCGCCTCGGAATGGAAAAGAACATCATACGTCTTCTAGGACAGCTGACCGATGGTTTGTCTCGAGCCATGAATATTATTGGCAAAGAAGAACAACCTGTTATTGAGGATGGAAATATGGGAAGCATTGAGGAAAAACCTGCAATTAAGACCAATCTCTCCAAGACTTTGCCTGCGGAAACTCGCATTTACACAGAACTGAAAAGCAACTTCATCCCTTTCTTATCTGAATTTGTGCATCAGAAGGATGAATCTGAAGTTCATCTTCGCATTCCAGTCGCAGTTATAACTGTCAAGTTACTGAGGCTTCTTCCTGAGGAAGACATGGCTCTTTTCCTCCCCTCCCTACTTCTAGACCTAGCTAATGTTCTCAAAAGTCGGTCTCAGGATGCTAGAGATTTGACCAGAAGAACACTCGCTGATGTCGCACTTATTCTTGGGCCGTCTTATTTTGGATATATTCTAAAAGAATTGCGGAGCACGTTGACAAAGGGATACCAACTTCACGTGTTATCCTTTACAGTACATTCTATTCTCGTGGCGACCAGTGATCATTTTGAGCCGGGCGACTTGGATCAGAATCTTGACGCCCTCGCAGCGGTAGTGATGGATGATATTTTCGGCACCGTTGGCCAGGAGAAGGACGCTGAAGAGTATGTGAGCAAAATGCAGGAGGTAAAAAGTAGCAAAAGCTATGATTCCATGGAACTTCTCGCAAAAATCTCCACAATTCGCCATCTCTCGGCTCTTATCAACCCAGTGCAAGCGCTTTTGCGAGAGAAACTCACGGCCGCTATCATCAGAAAAGTCGATGAACTGCTTAGACGAATTGGCATCGGCCTGCTGCGGAACCCTGGTGCTGAAAGCCGCGATCTTCTAGTTTTCTGTTACGAGGTGATAAAGGAGTCATACAAAACTGAAGCGCCGCAGATTGAAACCCATGAGCAAGGAAACAGAATCCGTTTCATCGTCAATTTGCTCAATCCGAGGAACCGCATGAATCGAGGAAGCACATCCTCATATATTTACAAGCTTTCTCGCTTTGGGCTTGATGTTCTCCGCGCCGTACTAAATAAGCACCAATCGCTCATGACTGCTGCCAACGTTGCCGGATTCCTTCCCATTATTGGAGACGCTATGTTACAGAGCTACGAAGAGGTCAAACTGTCTGCCATTAGGCTCCTATCCACGATCATTAAAATCCCACTCCCCGAACTCGATAGAAACTCTGAGGTATATCTAATGGAAGCCATTAAAATGATCAAGGAAGCCCCAAACACAAATACAGAAGCTGCGCAAGCCGCCTTGAAACTTATCGCTTCCATTCTACGCGAACTCAAGAGCACAAAGCTGAAGGACTCTCACCTTGGTTATTTGTTGAAGCGAATAACTGCCGATATCGAGGAACCTGATCGCCAAGGGGTTACTTTCAATTTCATTCGGGCAGTGATGTCTCGTAAATTTATCGTTCCTGAGATATATGAGCTTGTTGACAATGTTGCGGCGATGATGGTAACAAATCATACAAGGAGCGCTCGCGACCTCGCAAGAGGCGTCTTCGTACACTTTATGATTGAATACCCTCAAGCCAAGAGCAGATGGACAAAACAACTTGGGTTCCTCGCCAAAAACCTTGACTATCAGCATAAAGAAGGCCGTCAGTGTGTTATGGAAGCGATTCATCTTCTTCTCTCAAAGACCAATGGCGACCCTGCTCAGAATATTGTTAGCACATTTTTTATACCAGTGGTAATGGTTATGTCTAACGATGACGCAGTTGAATGTCGGGAGATGGCTGGAGTTCTTCTGCATGATATCTTCAGCCGTGCTGATTCAGAGCAGTTACAGTCTATGCTCTCTCCTCTCCGGTCTTGGTTGGAACAATCCCAAAACCCATTGCTCACAACCACTGGGTTACAAGCAATCAGGATATTCTTGGAATCAGATCGGAAGAATAAGGATGATGAAGTGCGGTTTGTTGCGCACCGATTGCCTCGAATCATTGGCCCTGCAGTGAAGAATCGCGAAGGGGAGGGATGGGAAGTGTTATATCATTCGCTACAGCTCTTCACAAAAGTATGCCAACTCTTTCCAGGCATCGCATTGTCGGGGGATTGCGAGAATATTTGGCGCTATGTTTGCGAAAGTCTTTTCTATCCACATGTCTGGATAAAGTCATGCGCAGCAAATTTAATTGGAATATGGCTTGCAGACGAAGCGAAAGGAAATGCCTCCATCGGTTATGGTTCCGTTCCGCTCATCAGCGCATCTGGTCTTAAACTCGAAGGCAGCACGATGCTGGACATTACGCGAGCCAGCCTGCTATGTCTAAAGTCAGCAACCGTTTCTGAAGATCTCGCAACCCAAACGATCAGAAACCTGGTGTTCCTTGGACGTTGCTTCAGCCAGAATAACCTCGAGCTTTCAAAGAAGGTAGAAGATTTGTCTGACGATGTTAGCAACGATAGCGACGAAAGCGACAACATTGACCCAGCTGCGGCGAAACCCATGAAACAAAACAAGCCAGCAATCGAATTTATCTTCGAACGAGCAGCTGCCATCCTTCGGCAAGAACCTAGAACCACCCGTGCAGATTCTTTGATCAGTAAAAAGGCTTCCATGAAACTTCTCGCAGCCCTTTGCACTCATCTTGACGTCGCTCATTTAATTCCATCTCTCCAGACAATTCTTCTTCCGTTACTACATCTAACTGACCCATCCATCCATGCGCCTCGCTCCCTCGACGAGCAGTTCCAGGATACTTACAAGTCCCTTGTTAGCAGCAGCCAGGAGATCCTCGATTTGCTGCAAAAGAGGTTAGGCACGACTGATTTCGTAACTCAATTGACGGTTGCTCGTGAGAGTGTTAGGTCCAGACGGGAGGCCAGAAGAGTCAAGAGGCGCGTCGAAGCTGTTACTGATCCTGAGAAGTTTGGCAGAGAAAAGAAGCGGAAGAATGACCGCAAGCGGGAGAAGAGGAAGGAAAAGGGCATAGAATATCAGGAGCGGAGACGTGGTTGGTAGACGGATTTTCTCTCCATTTTCTTCTATTTACATTTATTGAGGTTATTGCATTGCCCAATGGTGATATTTCGGAAATAAATGGCGTTCGGGGGGGGAAATAATTCAAATTTCTAGTCTGAATTTCATCAACTGGCAAGATGACACAGCATTTTATGTCTCTATCATTCATGTGTAATGTAGTATACAGTGATTAAAGCAGCGAAGAAAATTCCAATGCCGGTATCATATAAAGAGAAGTGTCCAAGCAAAGCCCCTATTATATCCCATATCTGCAAATACAGATATCCACGGAAGTGAAACTCTCGAAAAAAATAAAATAACACCACGATCGGTCAAGGTTGCCCACTATGTCCAGGTTGCTTGATCTCATCCGCCTGCTCCTTGGTCTGTTCCTGTTCCCGTGGAATACCAGCATTTTGTTGTTGCTGAGCCGTCTGGCCCATCTGCCCTTGCACCTCACGCTCAGAGGCTCCTGCAACAGCCCTCACTGTGCCATCTTCCCACCACTCCACATCACCGTCCAACTTCCCTTTCAACAGAGTCTGGCCATGTTCCGACAATATATCTTCCAGCGTAGACTTTTTATCCATGAAGATGTTAAGATGGTCGCTGATTACGTGCCTATTCCTGCAGCCAGGACAAGAGATAAGTACGGTTCCTTTATAGTAGCCATGTTGCGAGATTCGATGTGATGAGCGGTGACCGCATGGCTTGCAGGTAAATGTAATTTGAAAGGCGCGCTCTTCTGCGCGACGCCGGGCATTCTGCGCAGCATCTTCGGGGGTCACAGGTTTGCTGTCTGTAAGAGACGAATGTGTCCTGATGGAGGTTGGGCTATATCTGCAAAATTGGGAGGAGAGGAGCGGCGAGGGATTTGGGCGGGTCGTGGATGAAGGTGAAATGAAATATCGAGTTCTAGATGAGCGCGATACGAGCGAAACATGGTTTGCGCGAGTTGCCAAGCTCTGGACTAATCGTCGGGAGGAAGTCATGATTCTGGATAAGGGAATAAAATAGTCAACTATTGAGCTATGTAATATCTCACTTTATATCTCAGGAGGTTATTTCTTCTCCAGTTTTTTTCCTGGCATGACATAATTACAGCGAATTGACGGATAAATAATTATTCCGGAAACTAATCCGGAAATACATTATTCCAGGACTGGCGTTTATATTACATGCTTCGTCGCATCAAATGTGTTATGCACGTCTTTCAGGTCTCTGTCGCCGTCACAGAGAAAAGAAGGTGAATTCCATGCGCTGCTCTGTGTTATTGGATTATGGAGAATCGGTACCCATCCTGTTTTCATTTGTATTGTTTTAATTTTAAGTCGCTGCCTACACTCCGTTTTGGCTTTTTTCGCCGTGATTTCCCCCGCCAAGGTAACAGCGGCCTTATACAGTGAACTCCGGCGGTTCACTCTTTTTTCTCCAGCTCCAGGGGAGATTTCGCTTCTCACGGGAAATGGTAACATGCTATTTTGTAAATGAGGAATGGCGATGAAACAGAAAACCAAAGTTCGTGTTCCGCGAATGGTAAGTTTTGCATCTGTCACCCCACCAGGCCTCCGTTCCCTCCTCGCTTTGCTCCTTCATCAGCAAATTATTTCCACCACGGGATCAAACGAAACATTAGAGAATTTCAGCTTACCCTTGGTTATTTAAATTAGAGCATAGCAGCAAGAGACAGCTCTGCCAATTTCCACACTTCATGGGCTGTGCTGGCTGCTTCCATTCGTGAAATCCATACAAAAAACGCCTCGCACCTATCCTTCGAAGAATTGTACCGAAATGCATACCAGCTCGTTCTTATAAAAAAGGGTCTAGACCTCTACGATCACGTAGTCGAACTGGAAAGGAACTGGCTTCAAAATGAGGTGCTAGCAAAAGTTACCGCGGTTATTGCCCCATCGCTTGCTTTGGCAGGGGACACGGTAGACACCCTGGATCAAACAAACGAAAGAAAATTAGCTGGCGAACGCTTTTTGCTGAGGCTCAAAGAAGTCTGGGAAGATCATCAGCTTTGTATGGGCATGATTACAGATGTGCTTATGTACTTGGTAAGATTCTCAACATCCCAACGTAGCCATTTCTTCCAGAGCCGCAATGTTACCAGCTTCTTGTATGTACTAATATCTCCGAAAGAATAAATTAATCCTTCAGGATAAACAACGCCCGTCGATCTACTCCATGGCAATGTTATTATTCAGCGATTACATCCTGAAGGCATATGTCGGAGGTGATAGGCCGATAACGGTTGCCGAGGTCTTTGAGGACACTGTTCTACTCATGATCCGTCTAGAACGAGAAGGAAATATTATTGATCGAGCTCTAATACGGCATTGCATGTACATTCTTGAAGGCCTGTATGAAACAGACAAGGAAGAGGAGTCGGAGAAGCTTTATGTTACTTCTTTTGAACCCGCTTTTCTGGAGTCGAGCCGGCTTTTCTACCTCGCAGAAGGCCAGCACCTCCTCGCCACAGCAGACGCCTCCACTTTCTGTAAACGGGTAGCGGAAAGGCTACAAGAGGAGGAAGATCGCTGTCGACACACATTGTCTCCTATGACAGAACACAAGATCAAACAGGTTATCGATGAAAACTTGATTGAACAACACATCGGAGATGTCATGGCTTTGCCAGATAGCGGGGTCAAATACATGCTAGACAACGATCGATTAGGAGACTTGAAAAATGTCTACGAGTTGAATTCAAGGGTCGACGTCAAAAAACGGGCATTGACATCCGCTGTACAGGGTCGGATTGCTGAACTAGGATCAGAGATAAATATAGCAGCCAATGAAATTCCCCAAGGGCCTCTACCGATCCAAAAACCACCAGAACAATCCCAAAATGGAACCAAGGTTAAGGGCACTGATGACAAAGGCCCAGTAAACCTACAGACTGCAGCTGCAATAAAATGGGTAAATGATGTTCTGCAGTTGAAGGCCGTGTTTGATAAAGTTTGGGAGCAGGCTTTCATGCGGGATCAAGCAATGCAAACATCTATTACAACAAGCTTTGCTGATTTTATCAATGTGAATTCTCGAAGTTCGGAATATCTGTCACTGTTCTTTGATGAAAATTTGAAAAAAGGAATTCGAGGTAAAACAGAGGAAGAAATAGACACTCTTTTGGAGAATGGAATCACCCTACTCAGGTATATTCGCGACAAGGATTGCTTCGAGAGCTATTATAAGAAACACCTTTCCCGGAGACTCCTCATGAAGCGATCCGCAAGCACAGAGGCAGAACGGCAGATGATCGAAAAAATGAAAATGGAAGTCGGTAACACTTTTACTCAAAAATTAGAAGCGATGTTCAAGGATATGGAGCTGTCCAGTGGTCTCACATCCAAGTATGCGAACTATGTATCGCAACAAGGAGACCCGAATCTAAAACGTATTGACCTCGAAATAAGCGTGCTCACAAGCACCATGTGGCCGATGGAAATGGTTACCAGCTCCAATAAAAACGGCACTCCTTCTGCTCATTGCAATTACCCGAAGCACATCGAACAGCTCAAGCAAAGCTTCGAACAATTCTACCTCGGACAACACAACGGACGCAAACTTTCATGGCAGTCTGGTATGGGCACTGCCGATATTCGTGCTACGTTTCCGCGACCCAATGGGAAAGTCGCTCGTCACGATTTGAACGTATCCACCTACGCTATGGTCATTCTCCTCCTCTTCAATGATCTGCCTGCAGATAAATCTCTCACTTTCGAAGAAATCCAAGCGCGGACAAATATCCCAACCAGCGAGCTCTCGAGAAACTTGCAGTCACTCGCTGTAGTGCGGAAAACTCAGGTTTTAATGAAAGAACCTATGAGTAAAGACGTGAAGCCGACAGACCGATTCTTCTTCAACGAAAAATTCCAAAGCCCGTATACTAAAATTAAGATTGGTGTTGTCAGCAGTGCAGGCAACAAAGTTGAAAATAAGGACGAGCGGCAGGAAACAGAAAGGAAGATGAGTGAAGAGCGTGGTGGCAGCATCGAAGCAGCAATTGTTCGAATTATGAAGTAAGTGTATACTCTCCACCCTGGTTTTCCAAGGTTTAATTTTCTCGTCCCTACCTAATCCACCCCAACAACATGCCGCCTCTTCTCCAAAGCATAAGTAAGGAAAGGAACGCTGACCATAAATTTCCCAAAACCCATCACCAGACAAAGAAAAACGCTTTCTCACTCCCAATTGATGGCAGAAGTAATCTCTCAGCTGGCCTCTCGGTTCAACCCCGAAGTGAACATGGTCAAGAAGAGAATCGAAAGTCTGATCGACCGCGAATACATCGATCGAATTCCCGATTCTGACCCACCAGCTTATGTATATCACGCATAGAGAAGACACTCACTTACGCTTACACACGCCGCGCGCGGAAGACGAAAGCGACACCTTTTTTTCACGTAGCTAGATGATATTAGATGACCTCCCCTTACATTTTCCCTATATTTTTCTTGACATCTGGGCTCCTTAGGGCTCCTTATACTTGCCTTACTCTCCTCTAGGCATCCAGTTAGTTCTTTCGAAGCGAGCTTTTCCTCATAGCTCAGCTCTGCGATTTCCTTTCCAAGCTCATTTTCTCATCGACATGCGCTCATTTTCCATATCTGTCCTTGCTTCTCCGCCGGCTTTGGGCCACGTCGCCTGCCCTCACAAATTGGGGCGGTATCATAAGAGAAATTTGGAAAAGGAGCGAACAATATTGGTTTTCTGTCTTTAGCTCTTCTATTTCCTTCCTGCACACCATGATGAGTTTACGGCATGCACGAGAAGCGGACATTGAATACCATAATATCTTATCTTGGCGTGGAGTTCTTCAATGGATATGTGGAATACATCTCGAATTTTCCTTTCTCTCTGCTTTAATAATCTCCAGGTCTAGCTCTTGCAATGTTTACTACCGCTTCCTGCTGGTGGTCAACATCCTCAATGACCATTACCTTAATATACGGCGACAAAAATCATCCTGATGGAGGTAGAAGGTTGGTTCATTGTAACTATCCAGCGGGCGCAGCACCGCTTAAATAGGTGTGGTCGCATGGCCTTCTAGCGAGAGGTAGGGATTCCAACACATCCCCTTTTATACCAGAATTTACGTGCAGTTGTGTGAACCAGGCATAAACACTCTCAAGCTTCATTCCCTTACAAAAAATACAAATACACCAAGGATACCCGGAGGTTCTTCCTCACTGCCAGGAACCTCCTTCACCTCCACTTCTCCGCCCTTTTGTACTTAGATTTACTTTGCGAGCCTGAGCATAGACGTCTCCCATTTCGACAGATTACAATTGATTTATGTCATTTTCTTTTAGGAATGGTCCATCGAGTCTCTCATCCTCTTATTCGTCAATCATTGAATATGCCGAAACGCAATGCGTGTTTAAGTGCGCAAGTCTAAGAACACGATCGCCATGTGATAAAAAACAAAAAAACAAAAAAGAAAAGATGACGCCAACCTTTAAACGGCTCAGAGCCATATGATAGTTAAAACATAAATCAACCAAAAAATTGGAATCCAACCATGGACAAATCTACCCTATGAAAACCCGATATGAAAAAAAAAAAAAAAAAAAAAAAAAAAAAAAAAAGGCGCCATATAGCCTAAACCCTTCTCCAAAACCCTGAGATTAAAGAACCTCCACTTCCCCCCTCCGCCACGCCTCCTTAACCCCTTCCCACCTCGCAACCCAAACCTCTCCCCACCTCATCCTGCGGCCATAAATATCCTCGTCGGCCCCCATCTCATCACCCGCGCCAGCGGGAATAACGATTCTCACCTCCTCCACCAAACAGCGCACAAACACCACCTCCTTCGTCTCGGGGCCTTGAATCATACTTGTCCCGCCCGCATTGTCGTCTAATCGTCGCAGCTGTGCGGGGAAGGTCGAGAGGAAAGAGCTGTTGTAGTGTGCTGTTAGGAGGGATTGGTGGGTGTGGAGGAACGCGGACTCTTGTGGGGAAAGGAGGGGCTGTTTTGCTGAGGATGCGTTTGTGGATGATTTATAGGCGTTTGTGGCTGAGGGGGGATGCGTTGGGGTGGGGGTGTTGAAGGTTGCTTGGGAGGATTGCTGTTGGTGGTGAGATTGTGAGGAGGGTGAGGACGAGGAGGGAGGTGGGGACGAGAGGAGCAGGTAGTGCAAACTGTGCTTCGTGAGTTTTGAGAGGCGTTGGCGTAGCAAGGAGCGAATTACATATTGGGTGCGCGAAAGGTCTGTTTGAAGGATGGAGAGCTTGAGGTTTGTGTTTGGATTTTTGCTTGTTGAGGGATCGGAGGCCGCGGCGGTGAGGTCCTCAATTTTTTCGACCTGGAGAAATATATATCATATGTTCTTTAGTTATTGTTGTATGGCGAAAAGGATGTAGGTTGAAAACTTTGCTGGTTCAATTGATGCTAGATGGAACATTTCCTGGGTGCATTCTTAATCTCTGCGAACCCCAGCACTACATCTCACGCAAACAACAAAAACACAAAACACTCAATCCATATGTGATATCCACTCACCTGCTTCCGAACCCTCTCCATAACCCTCTCCATCAGCGCGCCGGGCCACGGCAGTAGCTCCGGCACGCCCCTCTCTGTAACCCAAAGCCGTATTAGTAGCTGCGCATCGAGCGCAGTGGCCTCAGGAGATGAAAGGTCCGGCTGATCAACGGAGGCGAGAATGTCATCGATGGTCATCTTGTTTTATTTGTATTAATATCTGCAATTGGAGTTCGGTATAATTGGAATTTTTAGGTCTTGTCCTTTGGGTTTGTATAACACGTAACATGTGTGTGAGGTTGAAACTTCCGAAAAGGGTTAAATTGAATCGCGTGTTCGGATATGGGACGCGTTTGGCGATTGGAATGAACGACCTTAGTTTACGAGGATCAACAATAGTTACAAAAAAACAATTCTTAATAATTTATCAATATTTTTTATTTGTTTCTTTTTTCTTTTCTTTTCGTTTTTTTTTTTTTTTTTTTGCTAATTCGATTTCTCCATGGCATTATCGTAATACCTTTTGTTGTTAAAGAGATGGGAAAAAAGGAAAGACGGTTAAAAGGAAGGACAAAGCAAAAGGGGACATCACGTCAATCCTCCCACCCATCATTTTTAGCAGTCCGTCGTCCGCCAGCACATGATTCTTTCACTTTTCATATCCCTCAATAATCCAGCAACTATTCTCCAACATCAAAAGTCCTGACTGAAGGTGCCAACAAACACACAGCCACACAATCAACCGACTAATTACCTCCCTGTTTTCTGTTCAGGCATAAACACGGTGTATCCCGACCATTCAAAAATACCTCACGAAAACCCACATCTCTTTTCGCATCTCTGGCTAGGTCACACATGCGAACCCTGGGCAAAAAAAGGAAAAGGGAAAGAGAGGGGAAGGGGGGAGACGGAGAAAGCGGACGGGGTTATAGAGAACGGGAGACAATGCTAGATGATAAAAAAAGGCTGGGTAAATTTAAAGAGGTAGTTCACAAAAGGTAGTTGTTGGAACAAAACTTCATTCAAACAGAGTGAAGTCGAGGTGATTATGAATTGAGAAATGTAATGTGAGCGAGTACTGAAGCCGGCGTAACGCAGTTTAGAGAAAATAAACCCAGGGCAGAACAAGGACCGAGAAATAAGTAGCTTCAGCAACTCATAGAAATCGGATATGTTCCTGCTGCGGAGAAGGTTCCGGTACGAGTGATGGGATGGATGGATAGGTGAATGGATCAATTTGTTCCTCGAACTGTGGGCCGAAAGTATGGCTGCGCTTAGATATGTAGATGCAAACATAGGAAATAAGGTTCGATGAGGATGAAAGTTGTTAAAGTATGTGTTTTTGTCGAAACTTTAAGAAAAAGGAAATATATAAGTCAATTCCGGTGAGGTAATAGCTAAACCACTCATAGAGCGATATGTCGCAAAATGTGGATAAAGTGTTGGATAATTAATAGCGGAAGCTCAATACTTGCTGAGCCGATAATTGTATCTCTCCAAGTATCCTATAATGGAGTAAATGTATGTTGCCCGCAGTAAATTGTTCTATCGCAGCAAAGAGCGTTTGCTTGGCCGACCTCGGTGGTGGCGGCAGGGTCAAAAGAATGATGAAGTAAGTCTCACAAGTATGTTAGCGATTTCGTTTTGTTCGAAAGCTGTTGAAATGTCAAAAAAGGTCGGCGTGGAGCCGAGATTGAAAGGCTAAATGGAATTGGTCCAAGATTCAAAAACGCAGGGACTGGTAGTGCCAGACTGGCGGAGCAGAATAGAAAAAATTAACAAGGGAACGTAACTCCATAAAAGCGTTCAGCGCCATAATTCAAAGATCATTGATAAAGTTATCAGTGGCTAAACATACGCCGTCCAGGCAAGCGTCCAGGTTCCGGGATTTCCAGAGACAGGTTGCGGTCACTGCCAGCATTCCGACAGCGCCCCGTAGGACTGTCTTCCATTTGGGTAGTAGAATGTTGTCCGAAAGCAAATGTCTGAGCTCTGGCAAGCTTTGACCGTTGTTTTACTTTCCCGAGGCCTCTTTCACAGGCAAAGGCATGCTCCTTTGCGGCCATCTCAACATAGTTTTGCGGAATGCAGAGAGATCGGTACACGGAAAAGAAAGCACTGTAACCACCATCCAGGATATACATTTCGGGGTATGTGAGTTTGGGGTACTCGTCGATATTGACTGCGCGATCTTTGTGTCGAATAAACTTGGCCCTAAATCGATATGTAAGAAAGACATTTCGCAAAAGATGTGAAAAGGTGATTGTTGGGAATACGACTCACATAATAGGAGCACGGTGAGCAGAGTACTCGCAATGGAAGACCAACATCGTGTTTGGCTTCATGTCCTCAGAGAACAACCTCGATGCAAGATGCTCCTTATCATTGTAATTGACAGCACCATTTATATGGCCACCTTCATACTCGTACTCAAATCGACAGTCAATAATGATTATGTCGTTATATTTATCATTATATTTCCCATCAAGAATATCAACCAAAACAGTGCTCTCAATCCTGGGGAGACTGTCGGGTTGATCTTCTGGGATGAAATGAGGTAAATGTAGAGTAGGTGCCTCTTCCATATCGCTTAAAGATAGGATATTCACACTAGCATCGTTGTCTTGATTCATTACATCGTCAGGGTGCTCAAACATGCTTAGTGACCTTCTACACTGTTTCCTAGGTCGAGAAAATGGATTGGAACCTTTGCGCACAGCACCATGCCCTGGAGACCCGTTTCCGCGAGATTGTCCGACGAAACTTGAAAAGGGAGCTCGTGGACGAGAGAGTCCCATTTGTTCATTTGAAAGATTGGTCCGTGAGGCTGGTCTTTCCGGTGATCCCTCAAATATCTCAGATAATGAAAGCGATGTCGACGTAGAGAGCTTACTATTTCCATTTCCAAATTTCACGAATGGTTGGGAATTGCTCACTGATGGACTTTTAGAGATTCCACCATGAGCCTTAGCTCGCATCAATGAAGGACGGAGGAAAGCGGCCCTTTTTCTCCTAAAAGAATATCAATATCAGAACTACTTTTGCATAACGTAACGAATGTTTACGGCAGCTTACTCTGGCGGAATATTGGGATGAGTTGACCCAATTGGTGAATCTTGAAGAGGACTAGGGATGTATATCTTAGGTTTAGGGTTAGACAGATCAGCCGTAGGAGACTCCAAGTCACTATCTGATTGGTGAGAGTAGGGAATTTTGTGCGGTAACGGGGACATGTCCATCATATCAACAGAAATGGCCGGTGAAGATGAGGGTAGAGGAGGTGTTGTCATTGTATCTAAAAATATTGTGATTAGCTTCACTGGAATGTCCATGTCCATCAGCTGGGATATTAAAGGGGGATGGGATATATTACCTCGACCATTTTCCGAACCAAACGAATTCGCTGAAAACAGCGATCTCCGCGGTGTTACTAACTGAGGACTGTGGACAAGTCAGTAGCAAACCTAGGCAAGAAAAATCCAAAGTAAAAAAAAAAAAAACAATTGACAGCGAATAATACACCGCAAGATAGGCAATTACCTTTGGTCAATGTGGAAGTTCTGTGAAAGATCTGCAGCTAAGCTTGCGGTAGGAGAGGAGCCTCCAACGTGCTTCACACTGAAGTAATCTGGACTTCCTTTCGTCTTGGAGAGTTCCTTAAAATTGAAACTGTTCGGGCCAAAATTTCTCACTGCAGGGAAGGATTTGAATGAAGCAGCCGTCTCCGCCCGAAAACAGTGACCGAAGAGCACAGACGGGGGCTGCATAGCAGCAAGAGGAGACGAATGTTCCATCCCCCCAAGTTCCTAGCTCAGAAAATCAGGAATTATTATCCTTTTGACTGTGTATCTGTTCCTCCACTCAGTCGACCGGTAGACACAACGCCAGACAGTTCCAACTCAAACGTAGGATTGTCCGGGAGTGGGGGCGGAGAGGATGGAGGGCGGAATGGATAGACGGTAGCAGTCAGGTCGGGGTCAATTCCTCGAGCAAAATGTAGGCATACGGCACGTCCAATGCACTCTGCAAGACCAGCCCTCGGAGCTTGTATTCTGGGTTGTCGGCTTTTCGTCTGGAAACCGAAATCTTCTACCGCAGTGGCTTCGAGAAGCAAGCAGGGCGTAGGATGCCGAATTTCAAGTTATAACAACATCATCCAAATTTAAGAGGAGAAAGGCAAACAGTATAGTAAAACGGTGGCCGAGCAAAAGGACCGACGGGGGGGGAAGCCCGTCGACAAGGCTGTAACGGGGAACGGGGAAGCGAGAAGGGCACTTCTGGACTGGGGAGAAGGGTGAACACAAAATTAGAGAAGAGAAGGGGAGCAGGATGAAGAAAAGGAAAAGAAGAGGAGAGAGAGAGAGAAAGCGGAATCGTGGGTTGGGGATGGTTTGGAGCTGGCGGCTGAGCGTGTTGCAATGGGCAACGGTACGCCGGAGTGGGGAGGTGAAAGAAGTCTTTGCAGGTCCCGCACCCGCCAACAATGTGTGGCGCGGTACTCCCGGGTACCTGGCCAACCTTAGCGACTGTCTCCAACTTTCCTTCCCCTTGCTCCCATGACAAAGGGCAACCCAGGCCGCTGAGGTCAGGTCCTGGAACATTGGCTGCAGGCTTCATTCCGGCTTCATACTTGACTGGGAAAGGTTCTGCTACATCGGACAAAGTCAGCTTCCCTGATCCCAGGATCTTACATTCCTCCGTTTCTGTTGGCTGGGTCTGCTTCGTATCCCCTTCTGCTGCCGCTGTGACTGGTCCGTCTGCCTGCTCTTGTACCGCCCAGTCCAATAAACTACTGCACAGTCCTGACCAGACCCTTGTTAGCAGCTTGTACTATCATCCTGACTGGCAGAGCCGCCATCTGGTTGCTGAAGCAATACCATGACGTGCAGTTTCAGGGCGGATTTCTTGCTCAATGGACAACGCATACATACACAGCAAAAATTCGAAAGCTCACACAGAGCTCGAAAATAAACAAACCCCTTTTCTCCTTCGAAGAGGCTCATGGGGAAGTAAAATAATTCCATTCCACATTAATCTTATTGTAAATGATACAGCATTCTACGTACGGAGAGTGTTCAAAATCCCAAATATGCCCCAGCGTGCTTGTTCCTAAACACCGTGGTGCTTGGAGTTTCAGCATCAAACACAGGCTGGAAGAGCGGCATCCGGAACTCTCTCCTGGATTTCCGATATCACATTCCAAGGTTCTTATGCAGGCCGCCAATGAGCGCTTCGAATATCCGCTGCGTCCCATGGATATATCAAACATCATAGATAGAACAAAAAAACAATGAAATCATTCTACATCAAGCTTGGTTAACCATCGTTGAAACGCTTCCACCTTGCTCTGGCAAAGCAAATTACAAGAGATCTCATTGCAAACCACCTTAGTCACCAATTCCTCCAAGCATGTTGTAGAGATGGTGGTCAATCTGGGGCTGTCAAACATGTCTCTTTTACAAAGTTCAGGTACCAAACGATATCCGCGTTCAGCTCCAAATCTTATTTCCTTCAATCGGATGGATGGAAGCCCACAACCCTCTTTTGGGTGGAATAGCCGCCAGTATAAAGCAAAACAACCCTTTCTTCCAATTATAGGCCCAGCTTTACAGCGTACGATCCCAAGTATCTCTTCCCTGTTTAAAAGGTGCTTCTTTTCTCCATCTCCGAAAGCAGGAAAACAAGGGGACAGACAAGGATGTTGCGATGGGAAATAGCTTCCTTTGAACCAGAAATAGCCTGTCAATGGCCACAGAAAAGACCCTCAAATTCAGCCAGCCTGCCCCGATGGTTCCTCGTTACCTGATCCACTTCGTACGCGTACCACCTAGGCAAAAATTCTCCTCTGGAATGTCTCCATTCATACTAAGCAGCTCAAGCTTCAGCGTCTGCAAAAGGTAATCCTTAAGTTCCCTTTCCGCAACAAGGCGAGCAATAAGAGGGTACTATGTAAACAAAAGCAGCACCAACCACTCTCAAATGGTTACTGCTGTGCCACAACCCTCGGTGCCACCCCTGGCTGATTGACCGACCCCCCCCCCAGAGGGCTTCCAAGGTTCTGAACGATAATATTAACCGAGAGATGAATGAGAGTAGCCAATCAGCAGCAGTGAGCATGTGCAGAGTTATCCCACCCCAATCATGAACAACAGCAAAAATCATTGATTGAGCCATCTTTCGCTAGCTCCTTTCTGGTATCGCGCCATATTTGTCGCCGAATTTGATCGTGACGAAATCTTCCGCTTGCCGTGTTCAATACATCAGAGGGGTCATCATGTGTTCTCCGGCTTATCTTGATGTCATGACAATCGCCACCGAGAGATTGGGAAGCTTCGAGCAACAAGACTTTAAAACACTTCGAAGCCAACAAGCTCACGCGAGTTCTCCGAGATCTAAGTCGTTTTCTTCTCTTCACAGTCTGCAGGGATGACGAGTTGATATCCAACAATGCAACAAACAATATGAACTCCGGAATATGTGAGACAAACCACAAACTCTACTGTCCGTTCACGGGTCGACAGAACCAAACTGCCAGAGCTGAAGACCGAACAGGAGGCAATCGCTAATTGGTAATTGGTGGGGTTAGAATCGGTCACGCTGGCCAGTGAACATCCCACCTCCTTCCCCTCCCTTCAACCTTGTCGGTTTTGTGCCTTGGTTTCTTCCTCCTCTCTCTTCTCCAAACCAACCATGTCGCACCAACGCAAAGCCAACTCATTGGCAAAAAGCATATCACACTCGTGACTCCCTAAAATAACCAGAGAAAAGCAAAATAAACTAAAAAGGAACGAAAGAATTCGATGTCACTCTCTTGACGTCTACGGCTGTAGACTTGGAGATTGGTCGATCACGCCACTCAATGCCAATCTCGCAAGCGCCCATCCCCTCGATCCTGATGGCATTCTGTTTTTAGCTTGCTTTGATGATTCCTTACACCAGCAAAACCCCGCACCGTTGCTTCCAGCGCTCTGTTTCATGTTTTCGTTTCCGTTGGCATCATTGTCAGCCACGGCCAGGGCCCCACGCAGAGCCTGGGGCCCGCGTCGTGCCAAGAAGTAAACAATGCGGGCGAGCCACGAAATCCCGTGACCACCAGCCAGCCTGAGGTCCGTTCCGGGAACAGCGAAATAAAAGTTCAAGGATCTGGTTGCCAGCAGTAAAATTGCCACAGATGGCCCCAGAATTGCAAATCGCAGAGTCAAGGAAAACAGAAAAACGGACAAGACTGCAAAGGAAATCAAGAAAATATAGGAATAGCCGACAAGACAATATGAAAATAACCGGAATGAAGGATATATATCCGCAGTATAAGCCATCGTTAAATTGGACGGTAGTTTTGAATTTAGCTTCTTCCCGATATTATTTGATCATCCATCGACTAACTAACATAGCGAACTCGATTTTTCTCCAGGCTCTGGGTTTTTGGGTTTTCTTTTCTTTTCTTTTTTTGCCTCACTTCAGGATGCCACTTCAGGAGGCCACTTGAGGATGCGTATTCATATGCATGCATTCCCAGAAGCGGCCCGGTTATTTTCAAGAAGCCAATAGTTTGAGTTTGTCGGGAAATTGAGAACTTTCCCAATGAAGCAAGCCTGGGTGCACGATCTCTGTTGTTATGGTGAACAGCAAAAATTTTCTCTCAGCAAAGACGATGATTGAACAGCCCCAGATTCCATTTCTCGTGACACATGATTTTCTTTTCATCCAACCTCAGCAATCCTGACGATTGTTGAAAGAAAAAAGAATATAAATCAATCAATCAATCCTTCGAGCGCCCACTTCGGGTCGAAGCCTCCTTTTCGTTTAGACGATACTGCATCAGGATATCGTGGGCATGAAATTCTCCGTGTTGCGTACCGAATTTGTTCATGACCTCAGCTGACGTGAAGCCTCATGGATATTTTATTTCTTCAACTGCCTCTTGTTCTCATTATTGTTTCATATTAACGCCAGATATCAATCTCGTTGTGGCGTTTTTGAGTTGTGCTTTCATTCTCAGCCTTTCTTTACTCTCTCACTTGATTATTTTACTTCCATGATGCAGTCAGTCATTCTTCGAGTTTCCCTGGGAGATGAGATTACTCTAGTTCTTCCTTCTCCAGCTCCCAGAAACATCGATGGGCTTCTCGTCAAAATGATAACCCAAAAGCAAAGTCAGAATGCGGCCACCAACATCACCTACGCGACAGGCCTTACGTCGCAGGGGTGTATTGTGATAAGATGAATATATATATATATATATCATTTCATAGGTCTCCCAATCGAGTTATTTGTTCCGGGCCGGCCTCAACACTTTCAGTTACTTGCCTACAGAAAGCAAATGGCAACAAAAATGACAATCTATTAATATATAAACTAATGAAGGCTATCATTTGTCGACATATTCATGATATGATGCATCTCGTCAGAACTTTTCACATGATGTACTTGGCCCATCACAAACTGGCTAACCCGAGGGCTCACCATAGAGAAAACCAATAACCATCAAAGTCGCCCACTACAATCGTTTGAGATGAAAAATCGGCCTGAAAGTTTCCACTGGCTCCAAATACCCTTGGTCTGGCTGCAGATAACGGCCATCTGTGTTTGTATTTCGTCGCAATTGGCCCGTATGGATCGTATTTTTAAAGGTGATCTTTTTGAAACTAAATGTAAAAATTTTCATTCGTTATCTGGTGCTCTTTTGATGTTGTCTCTATTTTCTTTCGGTGTGTTGGAATCGTGAAATGACGGTGGCAGACTTGCACATGCCGGACGATTTGATGAGAGGCCATTTGGAATTGTTTTCCCTCCCGTTTCACTAAAAACGCCCCAAGTTGTCAATCTATTTGGTTTAGGTTCCCACCTCTTATTTTGGCAATCGATCAAAATGCACAGACTGTCACGCACACTCCAGACGTTGAATGAGGAGATCGCCTATCTTCAAAACCACGTCCTCATTATCCAACCAGTCCACCTGACTGTCCACCATCTTGGTATCCCCAGTTCGACAATCCATCGGCCACGAGATCAAACGGGTTAAACATGGATACAGGACCGTGGCCTTGGAGATAAGGCATCTGCATCGCCGCCACATTCCGCCCCTTCAATCATCTTATTTTATCA